GATGGTCGTGGATGCGTGAAACTTTAATTTACGTTGGCTCGCGCGCGCACGCTTGTTTGGGACCGTGCAGGACGGATCGATCGACAACACCACCTACCCGGAGATCGCGGCAGGCATCATCGCGGCGAAGACAGCGAAGCGCGAGGGTCCTGGTTTCCAACTGGAGGGCGGCAAGGTCGTGGCGACTCTCGTGAATGTAAGTGTTTATCCGCTGGTGTGCAGTGCTACTTTATGATACGCCACCCCCAACCGGATATTCAGACAGGAATCTCCCCGGTGCAATTGGGGTTAGGATAATTGGGCATTTTTGCCCCCCACGCACACACAACGAAGCATCGCTGTCGCCTTCGTCATTTTTTGCATTTATTCACCGTGTTGCACCGCTACGCGCGCACGACTACCACCCGGCAGATTTCCTTCGACGGATCGTATCGCAACCGAAACCACACCTCACACGGCGTCAACGTCGTCGCGTCTGTGAAGCGCATGAAGCCGGACCATCGGGGTCTCATGGATTCGGTGTTGGATCAAGTAACCTTCGGCCGCCATATCGGCAAGGATGCCCCGCTTCAGCCCGTTTGCGCTCTCAGCCGAAACAAGGGATTTTGCCGTGTTCACGGAAAGGCAGAAGATTGGGACAGCCGCAGGCGCCCTGCAAAGGGGTCGTCGCCCGAGGANCGAAACAAGGGATTTTGCCGTGTTCACGGAAAGGCAGAAGATTGGGACAGGCGCAGGCGCCCTGCAAAGGGGTCGTCGCCCGAGGAGGAGGACGCCGCAAAAAGACTTCGTCATGGCAATTGCTACTCGTCCACATGCCTGCGCAGTCCTCTCAGCGCCCCGGCCACCGAGCCGTTGGGCATCATGATCTTGTGCCTGCGGCTGATGTACGAAGGGTTCTGGGTGAACGCGTTTGCGCATGACCAGGATGCGGGCATCGGACACATAGTGCGCGGGCTGTTCGACGACGCCCTCGAGTGCCTGGACAGGGCTCATATTCAGGTCCGCATCTATTTAGCGTGCATTGCGAAATTATGCAAAACCTAGTTCTTGCATCCGTTAACTTTGTTGAAGGGTTTTTCGTTCTTGCATCCGTTAACTTTGTTCAAGGGTTTTTCGTTCGGCCCCCTGCTACTAATCGTTCGTAGGTTCGTAGGCGAATATCGGGTACCCCGCGTGGTGTAGTGAATCACATCCTTGCGCGGTTTTCTCTCCGATATCGCGCAGAAGAATATGAAGAAGGCCATCGTCAAGTTCGCTTCGGGCTATGCTAGCAGGGCTTGTCGGTACTTTGCGTGGGTCGTACGGGAAGCCAGGGAGGTGGTGGAGCGATGCGTGGACGACAGCATCACCCTCGCAGAGGCTTTTACAGAGGGCTTTGCGCACCTCGTGTTCCACCTACAAGGTGCGGAAGTAAGATTTTTGGTTTTTCCGATACATATGTCTGCAGCGAACCCAGCAAGTGTGCCGATCAATGAAAGTTTTTCTAGTTTTTTAGGCTGAACCTCTCTCGACCGCATTATTGCCTATTTTCCCTCCAACCTTCAGGCGTTCACAAGTACTGTTCCTCGGGGTGCGCCGGGGCCGAGGAACATGTTGCGGAAGGAGAGGAGCCTCGGGCTGGGAACGTGGAACAACCTGACATATTCGACATAGAAGAACTCCGGGTGGACTCCGAGCCTGACTTGGGTGCAACTGCGATGCCGCAAAACCCCGTCACGAGGGCGACGCCGGGTGCCGGTGACGCCGAGGCCTCATCGGCGGCAGGTGTCGGCGAAGATGTCGCCAAGAAGGGCGGAAAGAAAAGTCTGCGACCGTGTAGGGGGTCGCAATTCACGGCCGCCAGCCTCAGACAGACGTTGGACGACACGGTCAGCCTGTCCAAGGTCAAGGAGCAGCTGTGGGTCAGAGTCTCGTTGACGATACTCTTCTTCAGGGCGGCAGGGGGGGCGGAGTCTCTCTCCGATAGGGGGAAGGCAATGCTCGACAGCTTTTACCAGGCGGTAATGGATGCCACGGGCGCAGCGCGGCGAGTCTCAGATGTGGCGGATTCCACTCGCGCCGATCTGGAACGGGCATGCGCGGGAGTACACGGGGTGAGTGTAGGGCTTGAAAATTGCCTGTTAGTCTTATTCATGAACTGCGGCTGTGCCGTCGAAGGTGAAGACGAATGGTTCTCGCATAGATGCGCACACGTCGTTTCCTATTCGCAATTTTACCCGTCCGTCCATGCATATTATACCCTCACGATTCCTCCCCTTCTCCTCTATCCGCCCTTGCTCTATGACGGAAATATTGGTTTTGTGTGGTCAGCACATGTCGGAGAAGGAAAAACGGACAACACAAGTACCGCTCGCTGGCATCCCAGGGCCTTGGGAGCCTGCCCGGACCGAGGAAGGCTACACTAGCCCGTGTGATGGACCTGCACGGCTAGTGCAAACCAGGGAAATCCAGGTGCGGGAGTCAGTTTTGTGAACATGCGCTCCGTAGAAGCAGACGACGAAGAAGCGATGGCACTCACGCAATCCAAGGTGGACTGTTACTTTGTTTGCCCCCCAACTCGATTTATTTTTTGCTCCGCCATAACGGCTCAGTGTATTATGGACCACAGCTGGCAGTCTTGTACTTCAAGAGAAAACGGTAAGCCGATTACAGCCCGAGCAGCGTTTGATATATTCTCTCGCCCCCCCGCCCCCTACAATTTCCAGGGGCGCAAGGAGGCGTACATCGGAGCGTCGGCAGCAGTTCTGGAGGCAGAAAGGATATTCCGGAAAGAGACGGGCCGCACACTGACGGTGTCTGTGGTCGGATCCTCTCAGCGCGAAACGTAGGTTCTACGGGTGCAACATTGTCCTTCCGCAGGGTATCCGATTTCAATACGTACATGTTCGGCGCACTACTAGGACGAAGGACAATCACGCCGACACCCCATAGTCTTCAACTTACTCGTACACACCCCGGCTGAGTAGAACACAGACGACCCCTTCTATCCGACATTAGTGTGACACCCTTACCGCCCTCTTTTGACACGAGGAAAAATCCCACGGCCCATCGACTTTTCGTTTTGACCCAGCAGATGCAAGAAAAATTCACTTCAACCCTCAACACAACCGCATGCGCCCGGCACCGTGTTTCTGTACCCCAACAGGTCCTCCGTGCGTCACCAGGCATGGTCGGACAGTCGTCAGTGGACCTTCTTCTCGCACTGCTGCAACGGATTGGGGGGTCACATCAGAGCGTCACAGCCGTGCGCATCTTGCGATTGCCATATCACGTTCATTACGACCTGCATTCGTTCGAGAGCCTTCATGTATGGGTTGGGGACGAACTTCCTCGAGAGCATGAACGGCACCATCGCGGCAAAGGCGACGAAGAGGTCTGACTTCAACCGCACCCACTGGTCCCGTGCACAGATCGCGATGATGAATCGAACCCACGACGATGGCCCGGTGGGCGTCGCTAACCTGGTCCGCAGTCACATGGGTCTACCGCCACTCACGAACAGGGCGGCGGAAAAGATGGAGGCACGTGACAGGAGGGGGAAGAAGGTCGTTGTCGGTCAACTGCACCGGACAGAGGAACAGAGGACCAAGGCCAGCACGGACCGGTACAAAAACAAAGACAGGGTAACAACTCAGACAGCAGCCAACAAGGCCAACCACGACAAAAGGGCGAAGGAGAACAAGATCCTGCCTTACGGATACGGCACTCATGGGGTGGCAGCGCTCAGAAAGAAGCTTGCTGCCGAGGGCGAGGATGTCGAAGGTACAGCAGATGGTGAGTCGGGTCGCACGTCCGGAAAGCAGAAGGGGAAGAGGAAGAGGAAGGAGGCAGGTGGCACGGCGATCCCCGAGTACAATGCTGGCGGGAGCAACACGGACAACAACGACAAGCTGGCAGCGGATGTCCGGATGGGAGGAACGAAGACCGGCGGCGTGTGTTCATCCTGCCTGGAGGCAGGCGTTGGCCGCCAATTTTTGGTGGACGCACAACACGCGAGGAAGGGTGCGAAAATTTGCAGCAGGACCCGCGAACAGTGGGGTGCTCGCGCAGCGAGCACCAAGGATAAGTCGTAACACAGAAGGGAGTTGCGAGTCATCGCGTTTTTTCCAACGTATGTTCGTATTCGAGGGTTAGGCAGTTGTTCTGGTTCGTCACGATCTCGACGGAATCGCGCTAGCTCGTGTGTAAAAGGGGCGCGTTGTGGCGATTACCACAGCGAGCGGCAGTGCGGCATTCGACATGTAGTAATCGGCGCACTACCACTCTGTTCCCGCTAACATCGGGAGGCGGCTTGGGGATACCTACAAAACTAGATGGCTGTGTACAGCAGCTTTTCTTCCAAGACGGGAAGTCTGGCTCGTTTTGGGCGGGGTGCTGCCCTTCGTATGTTTGTTTTTCAAACCCTTGTCGAAAAAAACGCGACGACATGGAATGCACAGGACGGAAAGTGCCACCACGATTAAAGCGCCACAGTGTTGTGTGCTGTTTTGGTCTCCCGGGGCCGCCGAAATTCCTCACGTACCTCCCATCCTCCCATCTGTTCCTACGAAAACACTCATCCAGACTAAACCCAATCTACCCAAAGACAAAAAAACGAACGGAACACGATACACCACGCCCAAAGCTATGTGCGCAGGTTGGCACACACCCAAATTTATTTTTTTGGGTATATTAGTGATTAGACGATACAATGTTTACGCCTCTCGTCTACGGGCCCGGTACAAAATAAATAAGCCACCGGCTCTGGAGTGTCCGAGACGCTGTCCCGAGTCCCTACGTACCAACGCTGAACATGCGGCATGTAGGGTTAACCGAAACCGAGCCCTTCCCACCCCACTCGGGTTCAGAGGCCACACAACACAACAGTAGTACGCTCGAAGAGAGCATAGGTCGTCTGGAGCCGAACGCCCCCACATCCGAGTAACACTACTCCACTGATGTCCGTGGTCCTCTACAAACTTGGAACGCGAGACGTCCCCGTACCCCGTTCGACAAGCACAGAATAGTACTTGCACATGGCACGCACAATCTCCGACGGGATGCCGTCGCGTGCTTCTCCGGCGAAGACCTGTAAGGCGGCCTTCATGCAGGTACCCGCCGAACACTGGTTGCCTTTGCCGTGGCAGTCGAGATCAATCGAGGTGTCGTAATACACCTGGTTGCGGACCCTCTTGGCCAGACAATATCCAGGGTCGCCGTCGTGTGTCATCTGGCGGTCCAGTACTTTCTGCGGAACATTCGCACGGAATAAATGGGGTAAACTGGTGTGTTTTAGCGTATTCCGTTCTGCCAGGTGTCAGGCTAGGGTATGTAAACGATGTCGCCAGATGCACACATAAATAACGAATAATTCCAAAGCAGCAGCAAGTGCGGCGGTGCCGAAGGCGGCTGCACTGGATCTGCTACCTGCCGAGGACTTAGAAAAAAATTGCGATAAGGGAATGCCTCCTCCTGGTCACGGGCTATTGAGCTTTGCAAATACTTGGTGTGGTATCTTACGCGAAGTCGGGTCGATATAGAAATAACGAATATTTCTAAAGCAGCAGAAAGTGTGGCGGTGCCGAAGGCGGCTGCGCTGGATCCGCTACCTGTAGAGGACTTAGTAAAAAATTTCGTTTGGAGAGTACCTCCTCCTCGTCTTGGGCTAATCGAGCTTTGCAAATCGATCCAGGGGGTGTGGTATCTTACGTAACGTTTGTCCTACAAAAAACGCTGCTGTCGTCCATACTGTTTCCCTTAGCAAATCCACTCGGGTTACACAGTATGGAAAGCACTTGACCCAGATACCTCTTGTAATCGTAATACCCGAGGTCGACAGTAGCCCTCGACTCGCCAGTACGTATGCATACGGCATCTCTGCTTCGTTAGATAATTCCACAGCAGTAACCGCTATCGGAAGTTGCGTGGGTGCTCGCCTGCATGTTCACCCGGCTGAGGACACCAGCCTGGAGGCGCCCGCACGTCGTAGCTGCTTCCCGATCCTGCTTCCAAGTCACAAGCGGTGCCTCATGCTGGCATCCCGACTCCTTCGCCAGCCTGGTTGCTGTCTCTTCAATAAAATCGCGGATCGTCTCTGGCGAGTCGATCGCGTGCTGCGTGATGATGGCCAACACGGGCGTGCTGGACGTGCTTGGGGGGGAGAGCCGCAGTAAACCTTCGAGCTCTTCGCCGACCACCTCCACGGGGTCGTCGAAAAGCGTATCCTCCCCGCCCTCCTCCGCAGCCCCGTCAGGCCGGGCGGTCATGGAACGTGACGCCCCGCCCGCTGCTGGCACTGCTGTGTTGTCTTGGGACCCAACTTGCTGCTGCTGCTGCTGTTGTAGCAGCTGAGGAGGCTGTTCTGCCGCCGCGCAAGACTCCGATTTGTCGGGTGTCTGCCTCGCGTCCATGGACTTGCGGGCCCGTTTCGCTGCGGGGATCTCCACACCTTCCATCTGCCTAGTGCTGGTGTGCAAGTGGGTGGTCTAGTGTCCCCGTCGCGGCTGTATGGGGGCTGTGCCGGGCTATGTAAGGGACCGCTCCCTGCAGCTAAGTGTTTTCACCGCTTATATGTCCCCCCCCCAATAACGCATAAATTTTTCGGTTTCATGTGTTTTTTTTGTTACGGTTCCGAGGGGTATTTTTTCCAGGGTTGTCTGCCCCCCCTTAATAACCTTTCCTTTTTTTGCCGCCATGAATCACACGAATTTTTGAACTGCGACTACACGACTACACTTGTCTATAACATGCCAAAACGGTGTGACCGCGTGAGCACTCACTGGACTTTGCCATCGAGGGTCTGTTGACCGGAGTCCGGCTCTCCTTGGCTCATATTGGCTTTATAGTTGGCCTTGGCCTCTGCGAGCTTCTGTAGGTGGGCGTCTGGAAAAGACACCCGTGGCGACTTGCAGTGGGCTTCCAGGTTCGAGGTATTGCCTGCAGTGACGGTAACCAGTTGATGGCAAACGCTACACGCGGCCCGACCCTTTGGGTCTACCAGAAACAGACGGTCCCTCCAGAGGAAGGATAGTCCTTGTGCGTCGGGCTTAGGCCTGCAAGTGTTGATGTCGACCACATCCACCACTTGCATATCGTCAGCGCCTGCGGCAGCCGCAGCCGCCTCCCCGGACGAGGCGCTCATGCACCCACTCGCAGGATTGCACCCTGCTGCTTCGAAGTGTGCTGTGTTCTACGTGATGTATGTTGAGTTGTTCACGGTAGCTCTGCAACTGTGCGCTGCTGTGTGCTTCTGCTGCTGTGGGGATTCCGTGGAGTATTTTTCGAATTATCGTATCGATATCGAATTATCGAAGTATCGAAAGACCAAACATTTTTCGATAACCGATACAAGTATCGATACGATATTTCGATACGATATATCGAAAAAATCGATACGATATCCAACACGAAAAGTCATAGAGAGAGAACGACACACTACACGCTGCAGCGACAAACAACAAACCGACAAATAGAACAACATTACACAACACAAAGCGGGCCACCCGAGCCTGCAGAAACACGTCATCGTTCGCGGGGGTTTGGTGCAATGGTGAAGTGCCGGAGGGGGGGACAAGGCAAGAAACGTGTTCGATTTGGCACAGTGTTTCACGCCGCTCGGTCCGCCTCTTCGGGTTTCCTGTCTTTCCTGACCGTCTCGTCCGCCTGCTGTACCCTTCCCGCCCCCGTGGTTGTTGCCGTGTCCGTGTTGTTGCCCGGCTTCTTGTTTCGTTTGAGAGCTCGTTGTCGGCTAGCCACTTGTGCCAGGAGGCCATGAACCTCTCAGCTCCCTGCAGTACTCCTGTACCCCCCGGTACCCCCCGGTCCACCTTCGCTGCTTCCATCCAATTTTTTCCCGGGACTCCGAAGAAGCATGGCTCGGCGTCCGTAGATCCGTGCTCTGCTTCGAACATCTTGAGGTCGTCCTCCAGGCACATCTGCCAGTTTTGCTCCGGTTTCCCTCTGCCTGTTCCCCCCCCCGGCCAGCTCGCCAAGCACCACCCGTTTCGGGAGTCGTCCGTCTGGCTGCCGCGCCAGCGCTCCCGCGAACAGCAGCCGCCGTTTGCAAACAGTGGTTTCCACGCTCTGGCACCCTACTCTCTTCAGGGTCTGGGCGAAGGAAAGCTGCCGGTAGGTGCCCTTCTTTGCGTTGGTAACCGATCACTCCCAGGAGCAGTCGGTGGTGTATCGTCCGCAATGTCCGGTGTTGGTCTTGACGTGGGGCCCGTGTCATGCAGCCGTACAGCATTTTCTCCATCGCCTCGGCCTGGAGCAGGCGAGTCTTGAGTCGGAACGGTGCTCTCGGCCTGTCGAAGACCTCCTGGCCATGCTTCCTGACGCATACCTACGCTGTTCTGCTACGGTGATTGATCTCCCGGGTGAGGTCGCCATGTTCGTTGACGAGGCCACCTAGGTACCGGGATTTAGTCGTCTGGGCGTACCTCTGCCCTACTGCCTCGATGATCAGCGGTGGCGGCGGGGGGGGCGGTGGTGTTGTTGTCTGCTTCTCCTTCGCGCGCATCAGGAGCGTCTCCGTCTTCTTCCTCGATACCGCCAGCCCGAACTCCCCGAACACCTCCACGATGACGGTCATCATTTTTGCCAGTCCTTCGGCATACATCGAAATGACGCCGGCGTAATCGCCATACAGCATCCCCCATGCCGCCCTTCGCTCTCGGTCAAGTGGTGTCCTCGCCCCCGCTCCCGTCTCCTCCTCAAGGTACATCAGGTTCTGCGGAATAACATCATCCTTGCTGAATCCAATGGCAACGACCTCGATGACCGCGGCGAGGAAGATATTGAGCAGCAGCAGGGACAGCACACACCCTTGTCGTAGGCCTTGTGTGACCCAGAACCAGGCCGAAAACTCTCCATCGTCCATGCGCACCCAGGCTTGCATTCCGTCGTGAAATTGGCGGATGACGGCGATCATCTCCTCTGGAATCCCGGCCCTGGCCAGCACACTCCACAGCAGCTCTCGGTTCACTGAATCATACGCCTTCTTCAGATCGAAGCACATGTAGAGTGTTATTTTCCTTTTCCGCCCCAACTTCTGCAGTCGGCGCACGACGAACAGCATGTCGATGGTGGATCGTCCAGGTCGGACCCCGCATTGTTTCTCCGGAAGGATATTGTTGGTTTCGCAGAAGGCACTCAGGCGGTTGGTGATGATCTTGACCGGGACGTTCCCTACGTGAGATAGGGGCGAGATGCCCCTGAAGTTGTTGCAGTTGGACCGTCACCCTTCTTGTACAACACCTTGATGGTAGCGTCCTTCCACTCTTGGGGAATCTCTCCTCCGTTCCACACCTCAACGAGGATGGCATGGAAGTGCTCCAGGACGATGGGTTCCTCGTCGTCGTCGTCGTCTATCTTGAGCAACTCGGCAGGGAGGGAGTCATTGCCGGGTGCCTTCCAGTTCTGCAGTCCTTTCGTTGCCCGTTCCACTTCCTCGAGGTTCGGCACCGCTCCCAACCGTCAAGTGGCACGTGTCGCCGGTCGCTGCGTGACTTGGTCGATGATTTCTGGGTTCAGGGTGGGAGACTTGGTGTCGAGGAGGGTACCGAAGAATCTCGCTCATCGCTGAAAGATAGGTATCGTGCTTTCTACGGAGCAGCACGCCATTCTCGTCCGTAATGGGCTGCTGTCCTCCCGTGTTTGTAGATATGTGCCTCCGTGACCACCCACGGAGGTTGCCGTGCCCTCCCACGGCACCGTACCCACCCACGGTATTATGAATGTCTGGGGACTATGGTAACCCAGGACCGATGCTGATGGTATATATATAACCTTGATAAACACACACGCGTGCTCTCCCAGCACGGACCCGCTCCCCGAGAAACACACGCATGCGCGGGCTCTCACAAGGGGCCCCGCACTTGGACCCCCCATAGCGTACCCCCCCCCACGCGCATACTCTGCAGATCGGATCTTGTATCTAAGTAACCCAAACAACCCCCCTGCTTGATACAATATACGATCAATCCTGCATGAAAAATCATCCAGTTACTCGAGAAGCATCCTCTAAAAAAGCTGCCTGGGCGTTTGACACAAAGCGTCTCCATCAGTTTATCCATGAACCCAATGTATTCTCAAACTGTCAACACAAAAGAATCATCCTCAGAATAGTACCCAACAATTATCTGCACTACATCAGAAAAGCATCGGAACGGTGATGGACAAATAATAATCTGGAAGAACAGCTTCATGAGTTGTCACACATCCTCAAACAAAACAAAGCTTCAACTTCTTGACCATCAAAACGTGTATTCGGGAAGCACAAGAGCCCCAACCATCATTCGTCAAAAATGTTAAACCCTTCCTCCAATATACTGTCCAAGGGCCAAATTCTTAACATCGCGCGCATGCGAAGCGGTGCCACCACTGCTGTTGTCCAAGAAACGATAGAAAAATATAAATATGTAGTCATGCAAACAGCCCCCTAAATGCAACACCTCCCGAAACATACAAATCTGTGCCTCTCTGCTTTCACTGGTTTTGGCTCAAGACAATATCAATACCAATACCAAGACGTAACAGCCCCTCAGCTGAAAAATTTCCTCAAAACATGCATGTAAATCTGCCTGCTTTCTCTTTCTCTCCGTTTAAACCAACAGACGATCTCAAAACATCAAAGTGTACGAAACAGCCCCCAAGCTGAAACATGCCCTGCAAACACAATAAAACATGTACACATTCGCTGGTGTTCAGTCTGGAATCACGACAACACATTCCCTCCCCCTCATTGAAAAAAATATATAATCTCTTCCCCTAATTCTGGACGCAAGACACAGCATAGAAAACACATCAAATACAAACACAAAAAAAATCCTCACTGAATATTCATCACAATACAACGGTGGAAGCGAAATGCGTGCTTGTGAAACGGTTTCGTCAGAAAGTCCGCATGCTGAAACCTCGTGGGAACGTGCACCACCTTAAACTCCCCCCGCGCTACACGCTCCCGAATAAAGTGATGACGAATGTCGATGTGCTTAGAGTTCGGCGTAGTGGCGGGGTTGACCGTGAGGTGGATAGCCCTCCCCTTATCCTCGAATACCAGTGTGCACCCCACATCGCGACGCGCAAAAAGAAACCTCCGTAGTATCGCAAGAAAATCGCTTCCTTCAGACCGTCAGTCATTGCAACATACTCTGCAACTGTCGACGACAGCGTCACGCTCTTTTGCGTCCTAGACGAAAACGAAGCACACGCCCCTGCACACATCACAGCCGCTCCAGAAGCCGACCGCCGGTCGGTGGCCCTGTTGGCGTAGTCGAAGTCAACATACAAGCGCAAATCGATACCCCCCCTGGAACCCCTCTCAAATGTAATACCAAGAGCACTCGTGATTCTTATGTACATCGTATTATGCATCGCAGCCCGCCAGTGTAAACTCTTGGGCGCATGGGTATACCTCGCAACGGCTCGCACGGCATTAAGGATATCCGGTTGGGACTGGTTACATGAGTTGACCTACCAAAGAACCAACTGGCTCAAGAACGTCGGGTTCATCAGCAAAAAATGGTAAGACTCACACCAACAGGCATGGGGGTCTCGTTGTTGCGCGTGACACCATTCTTTACAACCAAGTTGACGGCAAACGTTTCTTGTGGCAGTGTAAGCGTACCAGCATCCCAATCGCGTGTAAAACAGACTCCGGTATACAGGCGCAACGCTCCAAGGTTTGTGATGGGAACGTAGGTGTTTGAGTCCCTGCCAAACTGGTCGCGCCGAGTCTTCCTCCTGTCATCCAAGTGCACCACAACCACCATGACGAGCACATCATTCTCTATCACACGCATCACACACGCATCAGCAGCAGACTGGTCAACCCAAAATATTTCATGCCCCGAACAAAGTGGTGGGGCCATGTGTGCGACCCCTGCTTCAAACCATATAGGATACGGACAAGTCTCACAACCTTACCCGAAAAGGGTCCGCAACCCCGCGGCATGCGCACCTACAGGATTTCATCTAGCTTCGACTGCACAATCGTTAATCAGCATCGAAGTGGAAAATGTCCCAACCCATCCACACGCGATAATAGCAGACAAGAGGCGGATACTCGGATGGGTAGGGCACGAGGGAAAAGTATTACAACGGTCAATACTTTCACGCTGACCGAAACCTCTAGCGACAAGCCTAGCCTTTGCACGCGACACATCACCAAATTCATCAGCCTGCCACGTGTAGACCCATTTGGTAGAGACGACGTTGATTCCTCGTTGCTACAGTGCTCCCGCCGGCTCGAACGTGCCCGCCTCAACCAACCCATGTGTCTCCTACTTCTCGGCCGCTGCCTAAATCGCGCTGTGCTCTCCCGCGTGAGCCTGCGCGTACGTCGCCGGACTCGAGGTCACATGCCGGTTCGACGGGTAGCGGGGGCTCATCCGGGAAAGACGGGGCGGCGAGCGAAGCGGTGACATCCTCCTCCGAAGCAAGAAGCGCAAGCGCGCCCGGCATCCCGGGAGCTGCTCCACCGGCGATGACCTGCCGCGCACGTGCTCGGGTGGCCGCCTGTGTAGCCTGGTGGCGGTCCTGCTGCCGCTGAAGGTGTGGAGCTGCGGCGGGCACGGGTGACAGCGGGGAGGCGGAGGGGGCGGGGGGGACGGGAGGGAAAGCAGACAAGGGAGGGTATACGCTCCCCTCGCTCGGATGCTCTCGGGCCGAAGCCGTCCGCGCCGCCGCCGTTGCGGCCGCTGTCGCCGCTGCCGCCGTCGCTGTCGGTGTCGTCGATGCTGATGCTGGTGCCGGCACCGCCGCCCCCGGCGGCGCCGCGACCGCCGATACAGAAACGACGCCCCCGTTATACGTCGGGAGGAGGCCAACGAACGCCTGACGTCGGTTTCCCCTAACAACGCCCGTGGTGTACCCCGCGATGCCTGTGGGGAAGATAACTTTGGAGCAGTCGAGGGAGTGGGAGTCACCGGGGCTCAAGTAGAAGCACCGACTGACTTTCGGCTCGATCTTGGCGGAGATGCCTGCGTGGTGGATGCCCGGCATGAGGAAGGGCAGAGGTTGACGTGGGGGGCGTTTCCCGTGGAGCATCTAAAATGGGCAGAGCATGCCCGTTTTCTGGTCAAGGCGGGGCAGCATGTTGATGCAGGCCGACATCCAGCTCCGCGCCTCCGGCCAGATGCGGTTGTAGTCGCAGGTCACCCGAGGAAACTGGATGTTGGGGAAGAGCAGTAAAGCCTCCGTGTGCGCCGACCTACCGCCCTCCCGGACCAGCCCAATCCGACGCTCCACCTTTCCGTAACGCCTGTGCCCTCCTTCCAGGGACGTCAGCTTCCGGGCTATGCCGAACTCCAGAAGCAGATCGCTCACCGACGCGTTGACCAGCTCCGTGCCGTTGTCCGTCCGCCGAAACTGGAAATCGCCGTGGACGGTCCGCGGGGAGTGAAGGTAAACGAGGATCTTGCGGAGGGTTTTCGTGAGGTTCTTTGCCTGCTTGTTCGGCATGAGTTTGGTGATGCCGTCGTTGGTGTAGTCATCGACCAGGACGAGGTAGTAGGTGGCACCGCCGGTAGACGCAGGAAGCTGGCCTGTGAGGTCGGCGAAGAGGCGCTGGAGAGGCCGCGAGGCTGTGGATGTCGTCGTCGTCGAGAACGCCTTGCGTATATCCTTCCCAACAGCACATCCGTCGCAGAACGACAGAGAGCCGGTGACCCGGATTCGCATCTGCCGGGCGGCCTCGCGGACCATGCGCTCATGTGCATGGCCGACGGCGATATGCAGATCGTTGATGTCAAGCGCCGCGGGCATGTCCGGCCGCATGAGAGCGGCGGCCATGGCAAGCCCGGCGCTTTCGATACCGCCTTTGGAGTTGTGGTCGAGGCCGCCACCCCCGGTGCCACGCGCGTTGCCGCCCATGCCGGGAGTTGTGGCCGAAGCCGCCACCCCTGGTGCCATGCGCGTCGCCGCCCATGCCGCCGCTGGAGTTGTGACCGAGGCCGCCACCCATGGTGCCACGCACGTTGCCGCTCATGCCGCAGCTGGAGTTCTGGCCGAAGCCGCCACCCCCGCTTTCGCCAACGTGGTTCTGGCCGAGGCCGCCAATCACATTGCTGCTGCCACCGTCACCGGAGTTCTGGCCGCAGCTGCCACCCCCGCTGCCGCCAACGTGGTTCTGGCCGAGGCCGCCACTCACATTGCTGCTGTCACCGCCACCGGGGTTCTGGCCGAAGCCGCCACCACCGCTGCCACCGACGGGGGCTCTGGCAGTAGCAGCCAGTGCCGTTGCGGAGCACGTCGCCACCGCCGCTGCCGCGAACGTTACCATCGGCGACGGTGACGTTGAAGTGACCATGGCGTCCATCTTGTTTCTGCGGGGGGGGAACAGGATGCTGATCGGCGACACGACATGCCTGGATATAATTTCCATGCCTCTCCTTGACAAAATGGCCTGTACCATCCATCATGAAAGCGCCGTGATTGTTGAGCAGAATATCGAATTCGTCTTGCAGCAAGTTGAACGACATGAGGTCATACTCGAGGGGTTGTATGCGACGTTGGTGAGGGTAAGGTAGACGGCGGTTGCAAAATGGAGAAGCAGGTTCAACGACTCCATCAGACGACCTTCATGGACGAACCGTTACCGATCACGAGGAATTTCTTGGCTGCGATTGGGGGTTGTGTGTCGTACATGTGACAGCGAGAGCTTGTACCGTGTACGGAGGCACCAGAATCACCGACCCACCACTCGGCTACACTAGCAGGCGGAGTTACTCGAAGCAAGCCCGGCGCTGAACGGCAAGGGTAGGTCCTAGGGGTGTACGAGCAGGTTGAGAGAACCGACGTGAGGGGGGGCTCCAACCACCGGCGCAGAAGTACCATATGCAACCCCCCCGCTCTCCTCGACCAACACCCCACCACTCACCTGATCGCCGCCGGGGCCGCTCTCCGGCTGCTGCTCCTGGTTCGGTAGGAAATCTTCACCACCGCCGTACTGCTGCTGCAAGTCCTGCCCCCCTTATTCGCCAGCAAGTCCGTCATTGCTGCCAACAGGGAATGAGCCATCTACTCCGTCGCCCGCATACCCCGGCTGCTGTCGATGGGAAAACGAGAAGACATGACCTCCCTCCGGCTGCTGCTGCGGGAACAAAGTCTCCCCGCTCTCGTCGACGTCAGGATGCAGCATGTGAAGATGTCGGTCTGAGGGAGGCATACCG